GTTTTGTAAAAATCGACGCGTTTCAAAAAGGCGGGGCATAGAGGAGAAACAATAATGTACAGTATGTGGAAAATAATGTGTTTTTTTAACTTTAAACCGCATAAACACATTTCATTACACCAAATACACAAAATAATGTTCTTTTTAGCAGCATCATATGACCCCTTTAATGAGTCATTAAATCGTTCATTCAAATTATTCGTATAAAATGATTGATTGATTCAGTAACAAAGCAAGTGAGTGTCTTTATGAAGTGACTGTCTGTATGATGCTCAATGGTTCTGCTGTGGCTTTGTTTGGAATTTTTTATTTTAATTTTTTGGCATTTTAACTGCATTCTTATAGGCTACATGCCACTGAGAATGTATGGACTGTGTGCTTTTTTTTTTTGGCTTTTGCAAAGTGAGTGACAATCGATAATGTCATCATCTTGCACATTATTAAAACAATTGTGATATTATCTTAGTGACACTTATCCAATAACCCCTACTTGTACATGAAACATGGACACGATTTTATCAGTTTGTGTCAAGGAGGCCCATTAATTGCATGATTGGTTTTGTAGTGAGCACCATTATTTCTTGTAGTGCCATTGATGTGGACTGATTTGTATTAGGGCTGCACGATAAATCGCATGCGATATTTAACGCGCATCTTGTCAGTAAAGTCGGTTCTTTAATCAGCGGTAAATCTCCATCACCTGCGGGCTTTCACATGGAGCAGCATTAACTACACAGAGCCGTTGTTCACTGACAAGCTGCGCAAAACCACGATCATATTTTGGGCATGTTTTGCGCAGCTTGTCAGTGAACAACGGCTCTGTGTAGTTAATGATGCTCCATGTGAAAGCCCGCACGTGATGGAGATTTATCGTGCAGCCCTAATTTGTATACACTTTTGTTTTGCAGTTTGTCCTCATACACATCGGCCCTGCCCTATGTTAGCTGTCGTCAGTATGGTGTTGTCCCAGAGCAGAGGGGGCTGGTGAAGGATGAGCCCAGTGTGGCGGTCCGCTCCAAGCAGGCTCAGCAGTTTGACTGGGCTCTGGCCAAACTAGACAGCTCAGTCCGAAGGACAGGCAGGGTCACCAAAACACTGCTGCTGCGTATCTTCCATGATATTTGCAGAACAGGTACTTGTCTGTTTGTTTAAGGATCTTTCCTGGATCCATTTCCATAAATAAATCTCATGCATGTCATCTCAATTCTGAAATTACTTCCAATAGGATATCCAAGTGGAAATCAAGCCCTGTTGATGCTGAGAAGCTGTGGCTCTCTGCTTCCTGAGGTTCCCCTAGTTGAGCGCATAGAGCTGTCACAACGGATCTGGGATAAGCTTCAAGAACTTGGTATGCATAGAGACCATTGAACAGTTACTTTTTGTACTTCTAAATCTGGTTTTAACTTATATATTGCTGTTCGCTGCAGGCGCCACCTATGATGTGAGCCATTATAATGCCCTGCTTAAGACGTACTTGCAGAATGAGTTCAGATTCTCTCCAACCGACTTCCTTGCTAAAATGGAAGCTGCTAATGTTCAGCCAAACAGGGTGAGTATAATAAAAAATTAAATGGTGTTAAATCCACATTTATTTTAGGTAACAAGAAATGTTGGGAGGAAAAAAAAAATATATATATATATTTATTAGTGCTGTCAATTGATTAAAAACATAATTAATTCATCAGTTAAGTTTTTAAATATACTTTTATATTGCACTAATTTCACATTCAATTTTAAAATTAATGTAGAAACAACAAATAAACAATATTAATATTTAATATTTTTTTAGTGGCATCTTTTTTATGACTGAAGGCGAGTATCACTGATACCAGTACTACTGATGTCTCCTTGAAATTGTTTTTCCCCCTAATATTTAACCATTGACTAAAGCCATTCAACATTACAGTATAATTGAAAAATCTATACATTTTAACAACTTTTAATTTAAGTGAACTTAAAAATCTTCACATAAACCCATTATAATAAATTTCATATTTACCTGTGCCCTTCAGCAAGTAGGAAATATACAGAAATTGAATAAAGCTATCAAACACTAAATTCTAAATTAAATATAGATTAATTCTTAAAGCTTTTTTTCTTTTGTCCTTTGATTAACAGACATCACAGCAGCTGGTTATTAGGCTATTTTGCTTTATTTAAGAGCTGCCGCTGCTGAACATGACGCAGATCTGACACGCATATTTTCTCACAACTCTTTACCTTTTCTGACCCACCTCAGGTTTTAAGTCTCTACTAATGAGCTGACGAGTTGAATCGGGTGTCATAGTTTCTTTTGCGCTTTAATATGAAATTATACACAGCGGGCACTGCCGCATTTGTGTGTGCAATTGAAGAGCATGTGCTACGAGCACAGTATAACGGCTGACAGGACAGTAGAATTGGTTTTTACTGACATATGGCCTGACAACATCTCATCTGACCACAGTTCACTGTTGTTCTACTGAAGCTCCCTCGTCACCTGTACCGTTTCCGCCCTTGTTCAACTAGTGCCTGTCACTGAGGCAAAGTGGACTGTGCGTCTGAAAAGTCTCCTGTTTGATGTGGTCGTAAAGACATTCTACATCTAAATAAATGCCATTATTGTCAAGAAAACATTGCCGTTTCAAGGACAGAAAAAATGCTGAAATTAAATGAAAAATTCACTACAAAAAAATCTATTAACACGGCTTTAGACTGTGAGAGTGACCAAGATGCAACAAACAATGGTGCTATATAGATGTATTGTCTTATCACTGATGATAGCTAGAAAATTTAATTGGATACAATGTTTATACACATTTATAATATATTGTGACTGTCTAGGTGACCTATCAGAGACTTATTGCAGCCTACTGTGAAGTTGGCGACATTGAAGGTGCAAGGTGAGTTGTGATTTTTGCTGAAGTCACATTTTCTTCAAATTAGTTTACCCTTATGGTGTGAGTTTTATATATATATATATATATAAAAAATAAGTTTTGCTTGTCTGTCACAAGAAACTAACAATGCTTATAAAACAACTTCTTGCAGTACAATCCTGGGCTTTATGAAGAGCAAAGACCTGCCCATCACAGAAGCTGTGTTCAACTCCCTAGTGACAGGCCATGCCCGCGCAAGGTGAGTGGACAGTGCTGTTGATTTGGTGCTTCTTCTGTGTGATTGGTACCTATGTGTTTAGTGACTTGTGTTTGTGCAGGGATATGGACAGTGCTGAAGGCATCCTATCAGTCATGAAAGGTGCAGGGATTGAGCCGGGCCCAGACACGTACCTATGTCTCCTCAACGTGTATGCTGAGAAAGGCGATTTTGCCAAAATTAAACAGGTCTGAGATTATGGGGGATGAAATGGACTGATTAAGAGAATGCTGTGTATACAGTGGGGAAAGTATTTATTTGATCCCCTGCTGATTTTGTAAGTTTGCCCACTTACAAAAAAATGAAGGGTCTGTGATTTTTATGGTAGGTTAATTTTAACGTATAGAGACAGAATACCAACCAAAAAAATCCAGAAAAAACACATTATATAAAGGTTAGAAATTGATTTGCATTTCAGTGAGTGAAATAAGTATTTGATCCCCAAGCAAAACATGACTTAGTACTTGGTGCAGAAACCCTTGTTGGCAAGCACAGAGGTAAGACGTTTTTTGTAGTTGGTCACCAGGTTTGCACACATCTCAGGAGGGATTTTGATCAACTCTTCTTCACAGATCCTCTCTAAATCCTTAAAGTTTCTTGCCTGTAGTTTGGCAACTCGAAGTTTCAGCTTCCTCCACAGATTTTCTATAGAATTGAGGTCTGGAGACTGGCTAGGCCACTCCATGACCTTAATGTGCTTCTTCTTGAGCCACTCCTTTGTTGCCTTGGCGGTATGTTTCGGGTCATTGTCATGCTGGAAGACCCATCCATGACCCATCTTCAGTGTTCTGGCTGAGAGGAGGAGGTTCTTGTCCAAGATTTTACAGTACATGGCCCCGTCCATTTGCCCCTCAATGCGGTGAAGTCGTCCTGTACCCTTAGCAGAAAAACAGCCCCAAAGCATAATGTTTCCACCTCCGTGCTTGACTATAGGGATGGTGTTCTTGGGATTATAGTCAGCATTTCTCTCCCTCCAAACACGGCGAGTCGAGTTAATGCCAAAGAGCTCAATTTTGGTCTCATCTGACCACAGAACTTTCTCCCAAGCCTTCTCTGAATCATTTAGATGTTCTTTGGCAAACTTTAAACGGGCCTGTACATGTGCCTTCTTGAGCAGGGGGACCTTGCGGGCGCTGCAGGATTTCAGTCCATTGCGGCGTAGTGTGTTACCAATGTTTTGCTTGGTGACTGTGGTCCCAACTGCCTTAAGATCATTAACAAGCTCCTCCCGTGTAGTTCGGGGCTGATCCCTCACCAATCTCATGATCATCCTTACCCCATGAGGCAAGATCTTGCACGGAGCTCCAGACCAAGGCCGATTGATGGTTATTTTGTATTTCTTCCATTTCCGAATAATCACACCAGCAGTTGTCTCCTCACCAAGCTTCTTGCTGATGGTCTTGTAGCCCATTCAAGCCTTGTACAGATCTAC